TACAGCATGTTATGTACAAAACGAGACCCCGTTTCATAAACAGCCATTAATGATGTACAGATGGAGTTGGACTATACACCAGAAAATGTGACTTTATTGGTAGAAATGAAAGACACGAGATAAAGCATTCCAAACTTGCATCGTTGGCCAAAATATGATAATAACTAAAATGTACTAAAAATAAAACAGGAAATAAGTCTCATGATCATATACTGTATCCCTTTGAGCAGGAGTTGGTGGTATTTGTTGAACCGCTTCATCACTAACATGAATCTCAACAGCTTGCAGTTTGTCACATACAGGAGCTATGGGAGACCAACTTTTTCCAGCATGGAAATAGAATGAACAAACTAACCTCGTTCACAGTTTGACCATTCCTACAAGTGTTCCACCCTAATGTGAATGGTACAGTTAACTTTACTATTAAAGCAAATCATTATCATCAGGCTGAGATGCTTATCTGATCTCTCTGGTTTTCTGGTTTATAGATATAATGCATGAATGCAAACACCATACTGGATGCACCTTGTAGTGTAGTTAGACTGTACTGGCACATAAAACAAACTAAATCTTCATTCTGAACAGTAAAATCTTTACATGCACTATATTGTTATATATGGGTTTAAAAATGACGTGCCACCGCAGTAATTGTGGCTTGTTTGCTTCGTCTATGAAGCAGCAGTCCTTTAAACCTAACATTCAAACTAAACAAAATTAGTGTTAAAATGAAAGTACTTTATCACTGTTGCGAAGAGAAAAGGCCTATAGAGTGGGTATTTTTAACTTATGCATTTGTCAGGGTTCTGTTTGTGAAAAATTGATTTTTTTTTAAAAGGCAGAGTTGAAATTATGTGTGTACTGAACCTTTTCTAGCCTAAAAAAACCTGCTGAGACGCTTTTGGTGTAAACGGCATCGTGAGTCATTGAACATGTTTAGGAGGTCTGCTTCTGTCCCTGTGGCAGTTGAACTTCAGACTCCTAAGCTTCCTTCTTCTGTGCTGCCCCTTAAAATCAAACTACAGTGGCTTCTTTGTTTTGGCATGTGTCTCGTGATCTGAAAGGTGATGAAAAGGATCTGTTGAAATATACTGTTGCTTTAACATACATAATCCATTTGATGTACTGAAAACTCTTGACATTATGTGACTGCCAGCCCTCAGAGATAAAAAGACATACTGTTATATTTGAATAGTGGTCACGTACTGCACTGCTGAGTGACTTTTTCCTCCTCACTTCCCCTCGGCCTTCTCAACTTCAGTCTCTAACTGTCGTCTTAGAGGATAAGACTGGTAATCTATATTTTTCTCATCTCAAACAAAGTTCATGAAAAGGCCAAAACCAACAATAAATTGATCCTATTAACAATTATTGTGTGAGTATCCTAAGCCCTATCTATCGTATTCCTCTGTGCCATAGAGCTCCATCGCTATCTAAAAACTGTCCAATCAGTGAGTTGCACCGTTGCTGTGGGTGACGTGTTCATGATGATGAACAAGGCCACCGCAGTTTATTTTGAATCAATCCCACATATGACGTCCTGCTGTTGAAATGTTACATCTTACATCTGAATGTGTATTAATCCGCCGCTGAAAATAGTCCACAACAAATGCACTATTTACCCCTGTTTAAGTAATGTTTGCTAAAAACTACAGTGTCCAGCTGCTTTAGGAAGTCAGAAAGCAGAGAGAGGTCGTCTCAACACATTGTTTGATTTGGTCCTTTAATAGGATTTGGAGATAATAAGAAAACTGTTGATTAACTCCAGCTTTATTCTGTAACATATTAAAAAGGTTGGCTCAACAAAGACAAACCCATATATTTCTACTCTGCTCTTGTGGTATCTGATAATACTGATATTTTTGTTTTTGAGCTATGTCACTTGAGATTTCTACCTCCACCTCAATACAATGGGAGTGATTGTGGTTCTTAAAAACTCCACAGAAACATTTATTTTCAGAAACCGTGTCCTTGTTACTCTTTATATACCACAGAACACGCTGTTAACCATTTCTGATAGGGACCATTTCTCCATTATAAAGTACATTTAATTTAAACTTGAACAGTTCAGAATAATAATTAGGTATTTAAGATTTTAATGTTATTCTGTAGTCACGTAATCTATGAATCACCAGGACGGTTATATACTGAGGTTATCAGTGTGTTGGGTTTAGCACGTGAATCAGAAGAAAGTTTATTTTAAATAACAAAGTGATTTAAGTGGGTTTAATGTACACTGCAGTACCCAGTACGCATAAAGTGGCATCCCACTGTGAATTATTTGCCTTTATCAAAGAATGTAACCACATACGGAAACAGAAATGTTCTATTCAACATGTCGTGTATTGAGTCTTACTCACACATGCTAAGATCATTTCTTCTTTTTTCCCTCCTTTTAATTCATCTTTTATTTTGTTAGCCATTTGAGTGTCGAGAAATGAAAGCATTTGCATTGAAAGGACAGGTGGGTGTGAGACACCAGCGCGTGTCTGAATCGTAGCATTAAGAGCGGGGAAAAATATCAAAAGTAAGAACCATTCAGACGGCAGGAGGAGCAGGGATTTGAGCAGATATTAAAAGATGATTGTGCGTGGGCTTCTTCTACTGTGCTCCAGAGAAAGAATGTAAACCCTGTATCAGTCAGACTGAGGATAATAAACAGCAAAAACATCAGAACACAGCACAACAAACACAAACAAAAAGATGGATGGGAAAAAGCGCAGCGTATAAATAGTTCAAATATTTCAAGTGATTTCAGAATGCGATGGTGAAATACTGGATGTTTGTGTCCTCAGCCACAGCAAGTTCTTGTGCTCTGTTGTAGTGTTCTTTTCACTGTAACTGTATCAAGGCCAGACTTGGCCACATAATACACTTAATATTAACATAATATTCAAATTAAAGTCATTATATTGAGTTTGGATATCGATGTTAGCTGCATTTTAATGTGACACTATTTTATATTTCAATGTTAGTGTAACATATTGTAAAAATATGAATAAATAAGATGAATAAATAAGTAGCATTAGAAAATGACATGACTTGTGGATCTGTGTCCTGTTGTAGCGCTGATCTGATCTCTCTTGATGCTGCGTCACCACGCACAATCATTTTGGTTTTAAAATACTTTGTTGTTTTCGCCACTCCTTGTCACATATCACTTTTTTGATTTGTTGTTCTCATTGCAAGACAGCATGAGAGGTTCAGAGTTCAAAGCGATTTTCTTTCCACTTTGATACTGTGTTACTCTATTAAATTGGACACATGCACACTGTCAGATCCGTGTGTGCGTGTTTCTTATTTGACAAAACAATATTACCAGCTGCTTTAATAGTCTGACTCAGTAGATGAAATACAAAAAGTAGACTTGAATCTCACACACGTATAATAACTACAGCTTGTGCTGCATGTGGAGGCCAGCCACCTGAACCAGTCCTTAGAAATGGTGGGAAACAATGTGACAAATGTGAGGTGTTTTACACAGTTGGTTACTGAGCATGTCAACAAGTCTGTCCCTGCAGTCCCTGCCCAATTATATAAGGAATAAAAAAGGAAATACAGCTGGTAACTTCCTACTTTCCTATTTTAGCCATGTTAGCAAATGTCGTTGTTAGTTGGTCAGTCCGTCCACTACACACCAAAATATCATAACAATTATTGGATGGATGAATGATTACAATGAATCCTATATAACTTTGGTGATCAATGCATTCTTTCTTTTCATATTCAATGTAGAATCCAAAATCCAAAATAAAAAAAAAAAGAAAAATTCTTTAATCATTTATGAATCCAACAGGAAAAAACAAATCAATCAAATTTGTGTGACCAGGAAGTTTAGATACTGACTTTATAGCCTAACTGTACCAGATGTGCTCGGGCAATGGTGCTACTTGATTTAATGTAATAAATATTAGCTTGAACATCAATATAAGTGTTTTTGTTTTAGGTATTTTGGAAAAGTCTACATGTACGCAGACAAGAAACAGGAAATATAATGCTTCCATGGATACAATGAGTTAAACTGTGGGCAGCAACCTGAGCCCTGTTTTATGTATACATTTTGAAAGTAAGTTTGTTGAATTAACTATTAACAGTTGATTTTATGCTGTGTACCATGTACTGACAACTCTAACTGAATTACTCTGATACTGAAGAAATCTTAAAAATTGATGGATTCTCAAGCAAGTTCTAAAGCGTTCCCAGTCCTGTCCCAGTACACGCAAACAGTGAGTTAGTGTGTGCTGCAAATTTAGCCTCATTTTTTATTTGTCAAAATTAACAACAAAACACGTATTTTGTTGTTGTTCAAGCTCATTATCATTACATTAAATCAGGTACCGCCATCGCCCAAGTTTATTTACCACATGCAAGTGTATCGAGGGCAAGACACAGAAGTCAGGAATTCCCTGGTCACGCAAACTGACACATTAAATATCAAAATCAATTTACGTCTGTGGTCCGTTTTTTCATAAAATCAAACAAAAGTTGGATTCATAAGTGAATACAAATACATTAGTTTTTAAATGTTCTAATTTTGAATTCTATATTGAATATGAGATTGTGATCCCATGGGTTTGAGTGCAACCTGTGGCATTTTGCTGCATGTCAGTTTGGATATAAAGCAACTTACTTTTATTAATAATAATTATGTGTATTATTTTAAGCAAAGTGGTCATTTTTGCAGTTTGCAGTTAAATACTAATCTACCAAAGGATATGACTGTTCTAGGGACTGCTGCAGTTTGGCTTAGGAGGCTGTTTTTTACGGGCCTCGTACTTCACTGGCAACATCACTGAAGTCTCTGTACTTGAAGAAACAGATTATGTATCATTTCTACCAATGATTCCAGCTGGCAGTACTTTTAAACTGAAAACACTTCATCCTATTGTGATCCAAAGTTAAGGTCATTTTTGACCTTAGCTGTAAAGGCTTTTTAGTGGTTTCAGACAGTCTCCATCACCTATGTTGACTGACATTATGCCAACCTTGTCTTTCTTCATCAGAACCATGTGGAACCCAGTGAACAGTAACGACCAGACAGGACAGGTGACTGCTAGGATGGAGACTACTCCGTCTTTGGGTAGTGCGAGCATTTCCATCTCGCAGCAGCAGGCACCCAAGAAATTTGCCCCTGTGGTCGCACCGAAGCCCAAGTTCAACCCTTACAAACAGATGGGAGAACCCACCCACTCTGACAGTGCAGGTAACAACACAACAGAAAGCACTAAATCACACATATCAAGCAATTTCAGGTTAAACCTTTATACTGTCACTTTAGACACAGATTGGACTGGCCTCCTCTGTGTGTCTAGCATTTATATTTAATATTATTATATTAAGAACAGCCTTCTAGCTAGCTGGAGTTTATCTGTAGCATGTCATTTGTGTCTCACAGTCAGTGTCTTCACTGTGTTAACAGCGTGACGATCAGACCAGGCCCAAAATGCCCAGAACCTCCCACATTACGAATATCAACCATTACTTCAAACAATGAATTCCACAGCTTTCCCTCAGGAACAAGTGAACTTGAGTAGCAATGTCATTGTATTGATTGTGAGTAGTCCTTCTGTCTACAACAGACTGATTTTAAATCAGCACAAAACCCCAACTTCAAATGTCAAACTGTATTTCACTTTAAAACAGCCCAACCATATTCCTTAATTTGTCCATATTCTTACAGAACTATTATATTATTATAAACAAAAGTAATGTTTAACATATTTGTATAAGGAATACATATCACCTTTTATTTGCCGGATAGCATAGTATTTTAATATTGGTTTTTCATAGACTAATATATTTTCACAGTATAACGTGTGTTTGGTCAGACCTCACCAAAGCTTTCTCCAGCACCTGCAAAACATAGAGAAGCAGTGAATAATGTAAAAAAGAGCTGGAGAATGCGAAGCATAACAAGGCACTGAAACACAACATGGTAATATTGATCATCCACCCTTAAATAGAGGCAAGTGTAATTCTAGTTTATTGCAACACGGATCCTGTTTTTGGCCCACTTTTATCAGTTACGAGAAAATCTGAGTTGTTTTCTGACTGAAAGCAAAATTAATTTTTGTCTTGTTATTAAACTGCGACTAGTATAGTACATATAGGCCAATCACGTGTGGCTGTGTGTTTTTATGTGGCAGCCAAGACTCTGACTAATATCATAATTCACCAGGAACTACAGTACTTTCTTATTTGTCACTGGGTTATCTGTCTTGCCTCTGTACATTTATCAAGTGGAGCCATAAAGCCACAACTGCACATTTTGCTGATGAAGTTTTGCTTCCCACTCACACTCACATCTTTGCATTGACTGTGTATTCAGCTGTGCAACCTCTAAAAAAAATTTGCTTCATGTTCAGTCTGAACACACCTCTAGAAAGCTTTACAGAACCTGCTCACAGCAGCAACAGCTACTGGTGCTGTGACACGCATGTTTCTGAGTGGTCAATAAGGTACGGGGTCCTCTGTGGCTAGGATGTATAGATTTAAATATGTAACATTTCTGCATTAAAATGTCTAAAAACGTTAGGCTTACATTATCCCAAATAACCACATCTTTTGTTATTGTTTTGAGTACATACATAGTGGCAGATATTACATATTACACGTTTGAATGAAGTTAAAATTCACCCGTGATGAACTCTGGCTCATGCTACTTTACATTGTTAAAGTTCTAGATGTTAATTGTGACAGAGGCCTGGTTGCACGCCTAATTTCTAATAAACATGCAGTGCAAGTACTGTGGTTTGCAGTCATGTGTGAGTTCAGGAAGTCTTGTCTTGTCGCCTCTTTTAGGCCCCTTGGGAGCTGATGGTCTGTTTGTATGAAAAAGGTTCTAGTGCTGCAGTTAATCTGTAATAAACACATTCACTAATAGTTTCAAGATTATTATTTGTACATGTAACCTTATTATTAGTGTTTGTTCCATTGCAATAGGGTCACAGTCTTGCATTATTAAGGTTTAGATGTCAGACAAAGATGATTTAAAATAATGCAGAATTAGTTTAGCAAACACAGCGGCTGTGCTTTACGGAGCGTAACTGTATCTGTATCTGTTTTACATGAGACAGATATGACTCCACAGTGCAACAACTGTATCCAAAATCACCGTTGATGAGTAATATCTGATGAGAGACAGGCTCATATTGTAAGATATAATATGTAAAAGCTTCTTCGGACAAGTAAAGAAATAAAGTGTGTGTTTCATTGTTAGCATATGGCCGTATTTTTCTGTTCAGAAACATGACTCAAGGAAACACAATGAAGGGATGATCTATGTAAATTAAGAGAAACCACTCTCTATTTGCTAAAAATATTTTTACAGTCATTCATGCTTCGTTTTTGCATATGACTAGCAGTTTATAGGAAAACAATACACAACTTAGTGTAAAGAAATATAAATTCCCTGTATCTCTGTGATTATGATTGACTATTTTTATTATTTTACTTCATAATTTTTTATACATTCATTCATTCATTCATTCATTCATTCATTCATTCATTCTTTCTTTCTACAAAAAAACATAGGCATTACTATTGAGTGCAGTTTATTTGTGTTAAATCTTCTTGCTCACAAAGTTGTTACAGTGAAGGTAGAACATGACACCCGTCCATATACTGTACCTCCCTCCTCCCCATCTGGTGTGTTGTGATGTGAACATTATCTAAACCTCTACCCTCAAACCCCCTGAGAGCCCTAGATTTCCAAAACAGGGGAAACGGTTATGAAATTCAGCAAGCAGTGAGCACACTGTCAGGTTGAAAACACTGCTGTCTGTGGGGGTTTGTGGTTAGAGTTGTGGACCTGTCTGGTACTCCAGATGTTAGTTTTGTAAAAAAATAAAAGTTCTTAGACGGCTTCTGTTTGAGTTCTGCCCACCAAGGAGGGAAAAAAAGAACATCACTGGTGCTGATGTTAAAGTTGTCCTGAATTAAATGTGGTTTAAAAGCTTCCTATTTGGTCAGCTTGGCCCACAGTGAAAACATACTAGATACATTATTGTGACAGACTCAGACAGGACACAGGCTTTTGTCTGCAGTATATTAAATTAAACAATATTAGAATACGAAACACAGAAGAAAAACAAAATGAACCCTTTACCTCTTTGTATTGACATTAACTCTGGCCACATATTTTTAGCAAATAAAGTTTTATTCCCAGTTGATGATTTGTGCAATTATTAAAGCCTTGTAATTCCAAAATGTCCTTTTACTGCAAAACATTTAATCTAGACCCGTTGCCACTGTCTTATTTTGCACAATTAATCATTGTCTGGGTATTAAGAGGATTAATGAAACAATATAAAAAGGGTCGGGATACATTTGTAGATTATATAATTGTTGTAATGCTGTACTTTGTAATGTAAATGTTTTAGTTTTATGAATTCAGTCATACAAGAGTTACATTGTTATTATCTCCTGACCTCTGTGACTTGAGAAAAAACGGTTAATCCCACTTTTTCTATTCTATCTCACTGTTCACGCTGACTGTGACAGTAATTACATAAACTGGGTAGTGCTTAGAATCTTTCCTCATAAAGATTCAGTTGAGGTCAACTATACACTTGATTGAAAAAGGAAATATGGAGGAAACACTAATTAATAACTGTTATCAGGGTTGATTTTAACATTATCTTATTGCGCCTATGTAATTCCCTGTAGGTTGCAGCATCTTGTAGTGAAAATTCAAGTGGTGAAATCCTCTGTCTTTGAGGCTGCTACAGCATTATTTTTCATTAAAACATTAATTTTAATAAAGACACTGCTGATTGGTTGTTGTCAGCATTTTTAACATGCAAATACGTAAAGCCATCAGCAGACATCTCCACTTGTCAAAGGATAAGACGTCTTTATGAACAGATTATCTGGGTCTCTCTGTATTTATTTATTTAATATCTTTTATATCAAATGTGGGGACTGTCTGATGTAAAATTGAGGATTAGCATAAAAATTAGGGACGAGTCAATTTGGCACAGTGCCTCACTGTCCTTTTGTCTAGCAGAGGCCAGTATCAGGGCTGGAATGAGCAGTCCGATGTTTATTGTGGGGACAAAGAAGCCAGTGCAGACGGGGCGGTACACATTCAGCAAGGTCTGCCCTCAGATTTCTTTTTTTAGAGAACTTGTTCTGATTAAAAGCCCCAGCAGGAGGAAGTGAAAGACATACGGGTCTCAGACGGTGACCCCCTCACTCAAAATTCCTTACAACAGATCAGACTTTAGGATTTAAGTTGATCTCACATGGTACATGTACTGTAGGAAGGTCATGATTGCTTTATGAAGGCGATTGTTACCATGTAGAGCAGCCAGAGCTCCACTTCTTTTCTACACGTTCTTTCCTGCAACATCTGAACTTCGATTTTTTTTCCTGTGTTTTGGCAAGTTTTAGGGAATTTTAAATGTACACTGATATGAATGTAGTAGATGTGTGATTAGATCAGGAGGAGCTCTGCAACTCACTGTGTGAGAAATGGACAAAATATCCTGAATACAACGTAGTGCAATCCAGTGCAATAGCCCTGCAATAAAAACTACCTTTCTGAAGCTTAACGCCTTCAGTTGTGTTAAAACAGTATTGACAACAGTGTGTCATTTACTGTATGCTGTCAAGCTTTGAAAAACCGTTAAAAAGCCTTCATGTTATTGGAGGATGTAACAGGTGCAATGCACTGTGGTATAAACCAGCCTTCCTTGAACCCTGTTGTAAAAAAAGGGACCTCACATCCCTGTTCTATGCTAGCAGCTTACTTTCTAGCTTGACATCCTACTTGTTTTGATTTAAACTCATAGAAATGATATCATTGATCAGATATTTTCCACGCGTTATTGCATTTCTGTGCAGCTGTCTGCATGGATCAGCACGTGCTGACTGATGACTAGTTGGAGTCTGCACGCTGCTCTTCTCTGTTTCAGTGTAAACCACGCATGACAACAGAGTGTTAAACGTGATGTCGAGGACAGAGGTCATAATCCTGAAACAGGCTGAAGATTCAGTTTCTGTTTCTCCTTGCCTTTTATTAAATGCTCTTGACTTCCTAATCAATATTTTTAGAGAAATCTTAAGCTCCTGCCTTCCTTGCATTATTGTTTAATTTACTACTTTTATCTTTGCTATACAGTAGTTCACACAGTTTCTTCAAATGTCTGTTTAGAATGATTTCAGTCAAGTGTTTGAATGGGGATTTATTTTTCTGTATGA